GATCTATATAAATATTTTTTAAGTTTGGGTGAAGGCCAACTGGCCATGTGATACTTTTATTATTCTTTTATAACTATGGATTCTTTCTTTCTGTTTGTCTTGCATTAATTTTTATTTTAAAATTTTAATTAATATGAAATTAAATTGACCTAATTAGACATATATTATAACGAATTTAAAAAAAATTTAAATAAAAATCTCCATTCTTTCTCATATTATTTGAAATTAGTTTTTTAGTTGATAGAAAATAATTAAGGCTGCGTTTGGGGCAGCTTATGCTTATCCAGATAAGATGCTTATTTGAACACGTGAACCGCGGAGTTCGACCTGTATTCCGCATTTAGTGTAAAAAATCATCTGCGTTTTTGGATTAGCTGCTCAAACGCAGTTTCCAAACGGTGAGACAACATTTTCAAAACTCAAACGGAAAATAAAAATAGCCCATGATTTAAAGAAAGTTAATATGCAACTATTAAAGGATAGTAATGTTATGAATTAAAAATATATAATAAATAATATAAATATATGAGTAACAAATAAAAATTAATTGAGGGTTTCTAAATATCCATTTATAAATAATTACATCTTGCATTTTAATTATTTTAAAAATTAAAGCTCTCTAATCATTAAATATCAAGATAAAATATTAGCACATAATTTTTTTAATAAACTATGTGAATTTATTAATTTAAATGTATAATAAATAAGAGAGATTTATATACATAGCATACAATTCTTATGTATTTATTATAAATCAATTCATCAACATAAATTAATAATATAGTCAATTTTAATATTTTCTTAAAAATGGAAGGCACATTTAAAATATATGTTTTGATATGATTGTAATATTAAAATATCACATAGTAAATAAATATAAATATTTAGATGATAGATATGCCAATAAATAAGGATTATGTGATTTGGATATGAATCAACTAAGATATTAAAGGGCAATTAATTTATTTATTTTTCATTTTCGTAAATTAATTTATTTATTTTTCATTTAAAGGTATAAAAATTACTACCTATAGTTACTTTCTATTTTTGAGGCCATTTTTGTAATTATTATTTTACAAAATTTTCAGTGCATGAATGTCAACTCCGACTGATCGCTAAAATTATTCTCGAATGGGACCCCAACATAGAAATCATCCAATTCAATGTTTTTATATTATATATATATATATATATATATATATGTATATATGAAAGGATATATGGCTCTAGTATGCTTATTCATTTTCAAATTAATATTCCATAATTTTAATTTTAAATCAAACAATTATGATTTTTTTATTTATTTCTAAATTAAGTTGGATGGTTTAAAATTCATTTGACAAATTCTTAAAATATTGAGATTAAATTCCTATTTTCATAATTAAAAATATAATTAATTCTTGAAATTTAAGGTCAACTTAAAATTTGTGTTAAAGTAATTTATAATAAAATTAAGAATTATTTTTTAAGTTATTGTTTAATGATGAGTGATATAATTAATCATTAAACAATAATCCAAAAATATACCTATTAAGAGATTCTAATCAATATCATTATAGCCAATCCTAATTTACAAATTGCTATTATGCTCACACATAAGGCAAGAGTACATGCGATGTTACTCTATGAGTATGTGAGATAATTTTAATTTCATGAACCAACATATTACATCATAGAGGTTTTTTCTAAGCCCAAGTTAGGAATCTATTTAATCTTGTTGTAAACTATTATTTGATGTTGAGTAACCATAATAATAAAGTAATATTTCATATTAATCAAAATTTTGCTATAGTTATCATATCAAAATTGATGCATGCTAGAGAATTCACAGCAATCGAGTAATGAGTTATCGTTTTTGTGTTATACATGAATCCATAACAGGCTTAGAGAATACAATTGACGGGAAGAGATATCAGAAATTTTTACGTGAAAAACTCAAAGTACAAAAAAACCTCGGGGTCTAGCTTAGTCGGAAATAATTCACTATAGTTTGATGAGTACATATATATGCCCTTATTCCTCAGGCAGGAAAATGATCACGCAGTTACAATATTTGTTTGTAGAAGAACTCGTTGCACAATGCTCACGAGCAAATGCAGTTCCTAGAACTTTGTTGCACCCTGTATTAGTATTGAAATGAATATAATACTTATGAATTACAATTTATCTTATATTTATTGAAAATAAATATAATGGTCATGAAAAAATATTTAATTTAATTTGGAATTGAATATCCTTGCCCAATTTTCTGAAATAAAGTCTAATTCTCTTATTAATGATGATATGGGAATGCATTTGGCCGCATATCTCATCTATATTTGTATATTTTGTTTCTATTATTATAAATGCATATAATATGGTATGTCTATCAGACTCGGATGCATGGGGTGTGGTCCCCATATGATATAATAAATAATTAAATATTTAATTTCATAGCCTATATCACTGAATATAATATTTTTTTTCTATTATATTTCAGCAATAAAAGATCACCATCCCTGCACATGGTGGTATACTGGCAAGTCCCATACCAAGCTCAAATTGTAATTGACAAATTTACATACATATCACATAATTCCAATTTGATGTAAAAATCCTTTTTAAGAAGTTAGTAATAATATCATTTTGATGTGATATAAAATATTTGAGTGTTATGCATATAAATATAAAAGTTAGGGCATTGCATAGAATTGTGTGTCATGTATGTATGTGCCCCATATATATATATATATATATATATATATTTGATGAGTAGTATATTTTTAAAAAATAATTAACCATAAGGCTACAAAGATTTATAATCAATTAAAAGTATTAATTAAAAAAAGAAAATAAAAATTATTAAATTTGATTCAAATGATGTTTTAAATATCGCCCCAATCCTTAAGATCTTATGGCTACGTGATTAGGGTTGTCAAAACGACTCTTTGTTCGTGAACGACTCGTGTTTGGCTCGCTAAGCAAACGAGCCGAACACGAACACATTTTTTGAGCTCGAAATAAAAATCAGTCGAAAATGAGCTGAGCCTGGGCTCGCTCGTGTTCGGCTTGTTTATACGATTCATAGTGCTCATTATGTAAAATTTGTTAGCGGACACGTCCAAAATCACATGTGTCGCAAATGCGTTTGATTTTTTATTTGTTAAGTGAATTTATTTCCGCATTATTTTAGACGGCACCAATTAAATATAAGTTTATAATAATACGATATCATTAACGATATAGCCGAATAGATTAAGCGACAAATTATTGCAACGTTTCCATGTTATACGTCACGCCTCCAATAAGGTTTATTACAAATTTATAACTAAAGTTCAAGGGTAAAAATAAAATAAAATAAAATATAATGGCATAGCGTGTTTAATCTTCTGATTTTAAATGAATTTATTATTTTAATGGTGACATATCTTGACTAATATTTTAGTATAAAGATATAGGATTAAATCTCATAAATTTGGTTGATCATCTATGATGATTATTATTATTATTTTAATGAATCTCGTTAGAAATTTTATTTCAAAAAAGAAGAGGTTATACGATTTGTGACTGACAATTTCACGAAAAAAAGAAACCGTCAGTCACTGTGTGCAGCTTATGCAAAAAGTTTTAAAAATATTATCATATCGAATATAAAGAGTTTCTAAAACAATCTTCATGAATAAGAATAGAAAGCTCATGACGTACTCGAACCGAGAATATGAAGTCTTGTTTCTCCAATCCACGCGTAGCAGCCCAATTTGCACATTGGTTTTTTTCGTGATACGTAAATAACCAATTAACCTGCATAATCTTAATGACAGCAAATATTTTTTTTTTATTTGAATAATAAGGCTCCAAGGATATGTTTTCTTCTTAGTTCCAAAGTCCCAAAGAATCCATCTCAATATCAATCTCAATATCATCTATGATTCTTATTTATTTACATATTCCATACCTAAATTTTTATATTTACAAATGCAATATCAAGGTGATAATAAGGTAATTTTCTATTTGATGTTAAGAATTAAAAGTGCTTTGCGTGTAAATATGAAAATTTAGATGTGATATGAAAATTAATAAGAATTGTTAAATGCCCATATATATTTAGGGCTGTCAAAACGGCTAGTTGTTCGTGAACAACTCGTGTTCGACTCGTTAAAAAGCTCGTGTTCAGCTCGTTAGTTAAGTTAACGAGCCAAACACGAACAAATATTTGTTCGTTCGTGTTCGGCTCGTTTTGGCTCGAAATATTACTAATCAATTATATCTATATATATATCTTTGATGAGTAGTATTTTTTTAAAAATTTAATTAACTACAATGCTACAAAGATTTATAATCAATTAAAATTATTAATGAAGGAAAAAGAATAAAAAATATTAAATTAAATTCAAATGATGTTTTAAATCTTGTCCCAATCCTTAATTTCTTATGGCTACATGATCAGAATTGTCAAAATGACTTTTTGTTCATAAACGGCTTGTATTCGACTCGTAACACCAACACACTTATAAACGAGTCGAACACGAGCTGAGTCTGGGCTCGCTTGTTTTCCGCTCGTTTACACCCCTATATATATTTTTGGAAAAGAAATTATTTTTTTGTGATTATGGATTAAAAGTAATATATTTTAATGCTTATCAAAATAATTTAATAATAGATTAAATTATTGGGAAAAACCTAACACAACTGTCTTGATAAATTGGATTTATTTGAAATTTTCAAGCATTTTAATAAAAACTGCTTAAAAAGTCCAACCTTAATTTGGCCACTTCAGCCGGTGTCCAACCCTTTTTTTGTCCCGAATATTTATAAACTGTGAAATATTATTTTAATAATTTAGTGGGCCCTCGTTATCACAAGCCTACAGCATGACGAACGTGAAATAAAATTAAATTAAAAATAAATTCAAAATTTTAATATTATTTCATTTTTTAAAAAATAAAACTTTTAATTATGAAATTACATCTTTGCCATCCATGGACGCTTCACCCCCCTATTTTTCCTCTGCTTGTGTTGTTTGGGTTTGGTGGCTACTCCTTCCCTTTTATCTCCTCCTCTCTCACCTCATCTTCTTCATCCTCGAGCAGGTTCTCCTATTTCTCCTCATCGCTTTTGCTTCCGATCCTCTCTTTCATTTTCTCTGCCAGTTTATGTGCGTCAAAGGTGACTCCTTTACCGAATGATTCGCCAAGATCGAGTTTTTTTTGTCTTCTCCAACAAGTGATAATCGCCCGCTGATCTTCCTACCTGGATCAGCCCAATCTGCACGGATCTCTTACCATGTTCGGCTCGCTTTGAGCTTTTAATGTGTTTCCAGCACCTGCGTTGGGTTTAAATCTTCACCCATTTTCGATTTCTGCATTTGGGCTTCTGCGGATTGAAAGCGGAATGTTCTACTTTCGCTTTCCGATCATTAATCCGTGTGCTATCTGAAAACTGCTGCTGTATTTGCCATTTGGGTTCTTTTCCTTCTGCCATTTCTCTACCCGCGCTTTAATTGCTTCCCACCCACTCTTTGACCTCGTCCAGGTTTGTTCCTTGAATACCTGTTCGCTTTCTTCTTGCTTTGATTCTCTCCTCTCTAAAGTTATCGCCTTTACTGAACAGGATCCATGGGGGAGTTTGCCGAATTGCGATCATGGGAGGAGCTGATCCCGGACGCACTGGGCTTGATCTTCCGCAACCTGTCTCTCCAGCAGATTCTTTCAGTGGTGCCTCGAGTTTGCAAGTCGTGGAGCAGGGCGGTGTCCGGCCCTTATTGCTGGCAAGAGATCGATCTCGAGGAGTGGAGCCGCAGGGTTAATCCTGAACAGATTGAGCGAATGCTCCACCTCCTCGTCCGGCGCAGCTCCGGCTATTGTCGCAGGCTCGCCATCTCCGGCCTCCCTAACGATTCCCTCTTCTCCTTCATCGCCGATTAGTAAGTGAACTCCCGTCTCCAAAATCCAATCTTTGTCAAACTTGGTTGGTTTTCTATATTTCGATTGCTGTTTTGCTGCTTTCATTGTTCTGTTGGAGGCATAACGTAAAGTGGTTGGTTCATATCACCACCCATTGATTCTTTATCATCCCTGATTCTATTAGCTCTTGTGTTATGCAAGTGCCGGTTCTCTTCAGTCCCTCGAGGTGCCGAGGAGCGAGATGAGCGACGCCATTGTGGAGCAAGTTGCAGGAAGTTTCTCTAACATCACCTTCCTAGACATCAGCTCCTGCAAGAACATTGGCGTTCGTGCTCTAAAATCATTCGGCATGCACTGCAAATCTCTAGCCACCCTGCGGCGCACAATGCACCCTCTGGATGTCGCCGGAAAAGTGTGCCAGGATGACGAAGCTCTAGCCATCGCTCTCACCATGCCCAAGCTTCGCCATCTCGAACTGGCCTATCTCCTGCTGACAACTCAAGGAGTACTTCAAATACTCTCCCATTGTCAGGAGCTGGAGTTCCTTGACATAAGGGGGTGTTGGGATGTGAAGCTTGATGAGAGATTGGTGAAGGAGAAGAACGGGAAGCTGAGGGTTCTCGGCCCGGAGATCGTCGATTCCTACGAGAGGAGCTTCTGGAATGAATGCTCGGATTACTCTGATTCTTCAGAGTACTCGTGGGATTTCATGGATGATGGTGATGCTTATTCTGAAGATATGAGCGATGAACAGAGTGTTTGGGACGATGATGTTGATGAGCAGAATCTGGAGAGGTTGCAGGTCAGATTCTATGGAGGTGGGTTCAATGAAGCCTTTGCTGGCTTTGAATGGCCTCTTTCTCCTTAGATTTAAAAAAAAACGAACTTTTTAGTTGCATCAATTCAGAGCTCTCTGCTGCTTTTCCCTGTTGTTTTGCGTGTAGCCTCTGTATGTTGCTTCAGTGATTTAAAACAGGGGCCTTTAAATCTAAATTTTTATATTCATAACACTAAAATATTTGATATCACACTATTAAGAACTTTTAGCTACAATGTGTTATAAAACTAAATATTAAATTGTAGGTGTTAAATATATAAATACAAAGGGGAATTGTGTGGCATGTGTAAATTTTCGGATCTGTTACCCGTGTTGATGCAATGAGCACTCCTTGATATTACTGTGGAGGGGTTGTGTTGTTTTATGAACCAATAGCACAATTTTTTCTCCTATTTAAATTTGAGTTTTAATGGAAGCTACTAAAATAAAATAAGAATGAACCAATGCAATTGATGAACAACTCTGGCTCGGCTCGATCATCTTCGTTCAAATTAATAACTAGATATGCTCGAACAATCTCTAAATGCTTCGAACACTAATGTCAAACTTGTTCATTTATGTTTGTTTCACGAACAAACTCGTTTGTTATTCGATGATAACTCATATTACATATGTTATATTATTTAATAAAATTTAATAAGTTAGAATTTATTTAATTTTAAATTTAATAGTAACATAGTGTCATATCAATAATAATATGATTGATATTCTTTTATTAATAATATTATTTATGTAAATGCTCATTCCTACAACTTTTAGGTTATTTTAGTTTATCCACTTGTAAAATTTAAATTAGTGCATCATATGATTAGAATGATACAACTAATTTATAAAGTTAAAAGATTTTAGAGTTTATAATCGATAAATAAGTAGATGTCATCAGTTTTTTAAAATTATTTATTAATTTTTTTTATCTGAGAATTTAGATATTCATTTGAATTTTTAGTTTTATGATTTGCTCATTTAAATACTTTTTCACTTGTGATAAACAATTCAAGTTCAAACAATAAAAAATTTAAACAAATTAGGATTGAACAATGTATCAAATTTGTACACAAGCTCAAGCTCAACATAAATAACTTATAATTATATCAAGTCAAGTCCAAACTATGTTATACTCGTCCCGATTACAACCTTAATTGTATCACAATATAATAAATAGTTTTAAAAATACCAAAAAAATGTCTAATAAATAGAATGTGATGGAATCCAAACAATATCAAACTCAAACAACCATCTTCATATCACATTAAGGGTCCGTTTGGGGCAGCTTGTGCATTTCAGGATAAACTGCTTATCCTGAAATGCGGCCCGTGGGCAGGCCACAGGGGTCGACCCGGGGTTTAGTGTAAAAACCCAAACGCAGTTTCGGATAAGCTGGCGAAACGCGCGAACCAAACGGTACGGCGACGTTTTGAAAATGCCCCCGCACTTATAAGCTGCCCCAAACGGACCCTAAAACTCACTATTTTAACTTTTAAAAAGTAAAATACATTTGTTCATACACACATTGATGTGGCATGTAGGTAAAAATTGGGAGTGTAGAGGTGAATTAAGTGGATTTTTTATGTAAATCATCCTTAACAATTTCTACTTGGTTGATGTGGGAACAAGAGCGCTTAACATCAGATCTACTTTTTTTTGGTGCAAGAGACAAAAAGTTACTTGAAGAAAGAACGCATCACATGTGGTGGAGATGGAGTGCAGAAAATGCCAATTTCAATTCCATTCTTTGCAGTAAAAAGCTCTTCTAATTTTAGAATTAATATTATAAATAAAATTTTACATTCACATGTATTAATCTTCAACCACAACTTTTTTTTTTTTTTCACTGCACAAATCTTTGATTTTTCTTACTCGCTTTCGTTATCTCGATTTAGTTCATCGGATTAATCAAGCAAATTGATTAATTGAATTCAGCTGAACGAGTTTGTCAGGCCGATATTCAAATATACCAGTTTGATCGGATGCATGTATGTTTTGAGAAATTATTTCATCATGAGTCCTGCATCAGGACTCGAATCAGAGTCTACCACATGTATAGACAGACTCCCAATTTAATATATGAGTGAGTTTACATGTACATATGACAGACCTTGGTTGAAGCTCTAATGCAAAACTGTATCGGAGCTCCTGATAGAATAATTATTCATGTATTTTACCCATGCTTTGAACTTAGTTGCTCATTTTCTTTTATCATTGTCTCATATAGTATCATATTCATATATAAAATATGCTCTATAAATAAATATAATTCTTCTATAAATACGATGAATATTATTTAATAGAGCCCCACCAAATCACCTTGTTTAGCCATCCACCATACCAGCAATGCACACTAATCGGAGCTTAATTAACAAATCAATTTAAAATTGGAAATTAATTAATGCTAATCACACATTAATTTATATTTTTTTTTAAAAAAAATGGAAATTTGCAGATTCTTTAAGGGTGTCGGTCTGTTACAGTTGACTTGTGTTCCATCAACACAAATATTTAAAATAGAGGATAAATCTTTGCTTTTTAATAGGAAAATGGAATAAAAGTAAAAAAACAGAAAGAATCTTTTTTTTTATTTATTTATTTATTTATTTATTTTTATTTTTTATAACTTACAGTGGTGAGAGGTCAAATTGTACAGAGAGCAGACTACTTTGGTTCAAAATCACTGTACAACACAGTATTCAATTGAGGGCATGTTTGTCTTTTACTTCTCCTTTTTTTTTAAATTTTTTGGGAAGAATTACATATATACCATTTAATTTCCATGTATTTACATATCTAGCATCTAAACTTCAATTTTTACATAATGCTAGTTCAATAATCAATTACTAAAAAAACTTAAAGAGATAAATAACAGAAAGAACAGACGAACTGTCTTAACTGAAAAAAGGAAGCTTAGCCAATGAGCATAAATCCTGTGCCTTGACGTCTAACAGGAATCCAAAATCTGTCAAATAGATTCGTGGATTAGTTTATAGTTTAGTTGGTCTTATCTCTATCTATCTTAACCTACCGTCTCTCCCAAGCAAATCAGCATCATTGCTTCTCGCACTGCTGCTAAAGCACTTCAACAAAACTGTCTGGCACACAAATGTAATCCATAAATAATACATTTTTATAATATTTATGCACCATTCATGTCAATGATTAACATTATATTAAGGGGGCATTTACATACATACCCTCCAATTCATATGTATTTGCTTATTTTTGCATTTGACTCCACCAAAATTTTTCATATCACATTAAAAACATCACCTTTTTTTATTTCTACACAGTAAAGTTCACCCTTTCATGCATAGATAAAGATGCATGTAAGCAAAAATTACAGTTTTGGTGGTAGATGTGTAAATACAAAGGAATTGGGGGGCATGTATGTAAAGGAACTTTGCAAACAAAATATTATTAATAAACTCTTTTTTGCCGAGCAGTTTCAACTATATCAAGTCAATAATCTTTAAAAGTCTTTCAGACCTACCTTGAGAATATCAATAAATAGTACAAAACGCTTTCAGACCTTACCTTATTTCATGCATTCAGCAGTTTGGCATCCATTTTGGCAGCATTGCCACTCTCGAGTCTTTTGACATTAAAAAACAAAAGAGGCACATCTGCCATTCTATATTTACAAATAAATATAAGTGAAATTTGCATGCATACCACACAATTCTTCTGTATTTACATATCTAATGCATTGGGCTTTTAAAAAATTAATAATGATATTATTTTTTATGTGATATTAAAGTTTGAGTGTTATAAATATAAATATGAGAGTTTAGGTGTTAAATATTTAAACATATAAGAATTATGCGGTGCATATGTAAATCCCAAACTCTGGTTCATCTAAGTATTACATGCATAATTTCTTAAAGAGGTCAATCATTCCAAGAGTGTTTCAGTTCCACCAAAAGGCATCTCAATATTTAAGAGTTCAGTTTAATTCTTACTTAGAGAGATTTCACATGCTTAATTATAGTTAAACATAATTAAAATTTTAAATAAGAGAAAACTACTTTTACAAGATACATAAGTGCTTTTAATGGTCATCAAACTTGATTTCAAATCAAGAAGTTTTGGTTCTTACATTTTCAGCAAAGGCCTGCAATCTGAATGATTCCTCGTCCACAATAATTGAAGGAATGGTCCATTTTCCAACACCATGCTTCAAATTTGAACATCCTGAGAAAATTTTGGGAAAATAATTCTGTATGAAAATAAGGATCACAATGAAAAAAATGTAGAAGAAGAATAAATTATGTAAAACCTTGTCTGGTGGCTTCTTCACATCTTCTCCAATAGTTTAAGCAGAGTTCTGGATCAAGGGCCCTTGACAAACGATCATAGTTCTCTTCAGCCTCAGTAATGCATTTTGCCTGAACAAAAAAAATTAAAAAAAATTAAAAAAGTAAATATATAAAGGAACCTATGATTAAATTGGGAGAAAAAACAGTCTAAATCACAAATTTCATAAATTGGCCATTAAAAATATTATGGCAAAACTCCATGTCTGAGAATTCTTAAGAGCCCAATTGGTTGCATGGAATTCAAAATATTGTATGAAGAATGATTGGAGGAATGCAATTAGAATATATAATTGAATTCAAAATTCATAAGCTTCCTCAAAAAATGATATCACTTCACTTCCACACTAAAGTTTGTTTTGAAGAACATGAAATCTGTTAAATTCACCATTTGATTTAGTGGTGTCAAAAAATGACTTGAACAGAACCGGATTTGGAAAATTCAGATCCAAGTCGACTCTATAACTAGTTAAATCAGATTTAGGTCACATTATAGATCTGATTATTAAAATCATGCTCGGATTGACCCAAAATTGATTCATTACTGTTTTAGTTCAGATAATATGGGATCATATTAGATCAAATGAGTCATATTTGGGTTAAGTGGGTTGTTGAAATAAAAAAATTATGTTATAATAAACTGTTCAACACATGTATTAGGGTTTGGTGGGTTAAGATCAAGGCAGATTCAGGTCAAATATTATGATCCATACAATAAACTGGCCAGATCTAAGTCAAAATATATTAAGGCCGGGATACGGCCTGATCCCTAATTTGATTAGATGTAATAAAATAATATGGTTGATTTTAAATTCCACAAAATTGATGAAAACAGTCACAAAATTATGATTTCATATTCATGCACTGAAAATAATTCATCATTTTATAAACATATTTTCTAGTTAGATCAACCAAATAATTCCTAAATGAAGAAAAAGAAAGGTTGGTGAACTGACCAGCATAACCGGGGCCTTCGAAGGTCCATATATTCCAACGAACATTCGTAAGATGTTGAAAGTGTTGTCAATTACATCTTCCTGTTAAATCCCAATAACAACAGTTAATTCAATTTCATATTTTATAAAAATATCTCAACTTTACTTGTTTAATATAATCAAGCACTATAATGCATAAAATAATGACACACCTCATAGTCATACCTGTCACATATAACATGACGGCCAATCATAAAAAAAAAATTAAAAGAAAAAAGAAGAGATGAGGTGGTTAGTAGAGTTATATATATGTATATATACACTTATAATTAATTTATTTGTAAAAAGTATATATACTTACAAGTCATCTGAAACCTCAACTAGGAATTCTGAAACTGAAAGGAACTCCATGTGCAATTCATTGACCTTCAAAAGAAAAGTGTTATATATAGCTTTGGCTTGAAGCAAGCTATTTAAAAAATAAAAAATAAAAAATAAAAATAAATAAGAAAATACTATTAAATGCTGATGGGTGCTGTCAAAAGTATAAATACAGTATGAAAAATAAACAAGCATTTGAAGAATTTTGTTGACTGAAACCTTACAAGTGTCAATAATAACATGATAAACCACCCGTGTGATAAAATAGCCGAACACAGTTTTCGAAGAAGATCGCTTAGTCAGAATTTTTTAATAATTTGATCATGTTATAAAAAGAAAATGTTCTCAGGTAAGAAAATGGCTGACAAAAAAGGGAAACTTTAACTCAAAACAAAGCTGCATTTCCAAATACAATTTTGTTTTCTTTCCGTTGCCTGATTTTTCAATCCTTTGCGTGGCTTTATGACCCTTAATTTTCTAACCGTTAATTTCTATTAGAATGGCATACATATTTCTTCAGAATAAACTTTTAGCTTTACAATTTTTTTAGCTTTGAAATTAATATTTTCTACAAACTTGAATTATTTCCACAGCATTAGTTTTCAAACAATTAATTCCTGTTGAAAGTAATAAATATTTTAACTTTCAGCATATTTTCATCAAATGTGGAGAGAACAAGGCTAATACCTCATGTCCTGTGAAATTGGATAATTCATTGTATTATTTTCTACATTGCATATTAGATCTCCATTACAAACTCTAGACTCTTAATACATCCTACGTCAAAATTTATTTATTTTTCCACCAATTTTTTTGAAAAAGAAAAAAAAATGTAAACCCCAATGTTTGTTGGAAATTTACACCATATAAACTCAAATTAATAAACTGCAACTCTCAAAAAGACATAAAAATATGATCCAAAGCAGAGATATTCTGTAAGTTGCATATGTAAAAAGGACCATGTTAATATTAACTAGTAACAGAAGATATATCAACAACAGGTTAATCAGTACTCACCGGTTGACCTCTTAGCTGATATAACAAAAGATTCAAAACTCTATAATCAAATGACTTCAGATGAATTGCTCTCATTACATCTTCAATTCCAATCTGAAATATCAAACCTTTATGCCATCAATGGTGACAGAAAGTTCAAAAAATTGAAAGGAAATATGCAAATCTTCATTATGTTAACGGGAAAAAAGACGGCGGTTAGGATAAGAACTCAACAAGTGATGATAAAGGTGCATACAACACAACACAATAATTAAACGTAAAAATAAGAGCTTGGTATTCTGTCGTTGGAAAGGCGACTTTAATAAAAGGGTGGGTCAATTATCGAGCTAAATCCAACATAGCCAATTTAATTAAATAGTAGGTTTTGTTTGAAGAAGTTTCGCCGTTCAACGAAACTCCTTTGAAAGGCATGTCGGTGGAACTGAGAAGGCCCTTTGCGATCTAAATGGTGAAAAATTATTGTTCTTGTGAAATAACTTTGAGAGACGCTCAGGAGACACTGCTTCCTCAAATGAAAACTTTTGCAAGCGTCGGAGTTCACTGCAACGCAACGAAACTTCAACATCATCTCAAATAAAGCAGTAATCTAGGGATGCGATCAAAATACATCAAAGTGGAATATAATATTCATTGCAAAAGTTTTTCGGGGGTTCGCAAAGCTCTGGAGTTGACTACTATTGCTTAATGAAACAGAGTCCAAAAAAGAAAATTGATTTAGTTCAAGGCATTTACAAGTTTTACATCTTCTGTACTGCTCTAGCGCAAAAGAACATAACAGGATGAATCACAGAGAAGGAACTATAAAACCGAACAAAGTTAGATGAGACTATTAATTTGAATCGAAATATTTAGAGTCCGGTTTTTTTTTTAGATCAATTTTTTTTTAGATTCTTATGAAAAATAGACAACTGTTAGAACTTTGGTTTATATTTGAAAATTACCCAAACTAAAGCTGATATTTTAAGTTAGATCACTTATTGAGGGAAAATTCGAAGGCGTGTCTTCATAGACTTGGGGAATGCTTGGGATCTCTTTTGGTTTTTGTTTTTGCCTCTATCTTAAAAATAAATTTTTTAGTGTTTTTTTGGATGCTTTATTCTCAATTTTAAAAAACAAGTTAAATTGCTTTTAAAGACAATAAAAAATCTAAAAATAGTTTCGAGCATTTTTAAAAATAACTAAGTTATACATACCAAACATATTTAATTTAAAATAAAAAAAATACAACAACAACAACTACAACAAGCCTTTATCCCATTAAGTGGGGTCAGCTACATGAATCCTCTTTATCTAGAGTCCTATTGGGTGTTATATTTTCATTAAATTCTAATAAATTAAGATCATTTTTAATATAACATGCCCAAGTGTTTTTTAGATCTTCCTCTCTCTCTTAACATAAGTCAACTCTAAAATATATACTCTCCTAATTGGGTCATCAAATGGTTGATGTTTAATGTGACCAAACTATCTAGGGCGACTCTATCTAATATTGTCTGTCACTAGAGCTACTCCAACCATTTGATGAATATATTCATTCCACATTTTGTCTCTAAGTGTAAAGCCACTCATCCACCTGAGCATTCTCATTTCACGAACACTTAATTTTATGCTTCCCTTTAATAGGCCAACATTCTATGTCATAAAGTATTGTAGGTCTCACCACCATTTTATAAGATTTTCCTATAAATTTAAGCGGTACTTTTCTATCAAATGATAGGATCAAAGCAGCCCTCCACTTTAACCATTCAACTTGAAATCTACTAATAACATCCCATCTATATCGCCATCACTTTGAACAACCCAAATATCTAAATCACTCCTTATAATGACTTGATCACTCATTCTTACAACCCCGCCACTAGATCTGCTATTTTTAAAATTGCATTTCATAGATTCAATTTTAGATCTACTCAAACGAAAGCCTTTAGACTCTACAGTTGACCTCCATAATTCAAGTACTTCTTGAACTATCTCTAATGTTATCTACAAGAATGATATATCATCCTCAAAAATCATACACCAAGATACATTCTCTTGTAAATGTCTAGTAAGAACATCCATATTTAAAGCTCAAAAATATGAGTTTTAAGTCGATCCCTAACGTAATCAAGTTGGAATAAGAAAATATTTGGTCAATCCTCCTTGTGTTAGAATACAAATAACAACTCTAACATACATACCCCAGATATGTAAAATGCTCACTACATTTACTGACTTGATCACTCATTATTACAACCCCGCGACTAGATCTTCTATTACTAAAATAACATTTCATAGATTCAATTTTAAATCTACTCAAACGAAAGTCTTTAGACTCTAAAGTTGACATTCATAATTCAAATATTTCCTGAACTCTCCCTCTAATCTCATCCACAAGAATGATATATCATCAACGAAAATCATACATTGAGGTACATCCTCCTGTAAATGCCCAGTAAGAACATCTATAAATAAATCAAAAAGATGAGTTTAAGGTCGATCGCTAATATAAACCAATTGAAATAGAAAAATATTTGGTCAATCCTCCTTGAGTTAGAATACAAATAACAACTCTAATATACACATCTTTAATGAATTGTATATAAGCAATATAAAAAGCTTTCTTTTCTAGAATTCTCCAAAATACTTCTCTTGGAATCTTATCACAAGTTTTTTCCAAAACAACAAAAATCATATATAAATATTGCTCACTCTCTTTGTACTTCTCAATTAACGCTTTCAATAAATGTATAACTTCTATTGTAGACTTGACTGAGATGAATCTAAAATGATTTTGAAAAACTTTTCTATCCGTCATAACCTATGTTCAATTACTCTCCCATAGTTTTAATGTATAACACATTAACTTCTTCTATAATTTGCTATACTTGTGCATCACTTTTATTCTTAAAAATAAGAACCAATAGGCTCTTTTTCCACTCACCAGACATTTTTAATTTTTAAAATAGTATTAAAAAATTTAGTAAGCCAAAAAATTCTCAGCTCTCCTAAACATTTACAAATTTCTATTGAAATATTTTTCACACATCATTTTCTTTAAAATCTCATCAACTTTTATTTTACTAATGCGACGATAGAAATAAAACTTTTGTTATTATTTACGATATTGAGATCACTAAAGTTTATCATATTTTTATAATCTTTATTGAAAAATTTATCAAAATATCTCACTCACCTATATTGAATATCCTTATCTAAGAGAATCACTTTTTGATTTTCATCCATATACGTTTTATTTGAACTAAATATTTACTTTTCTTATCATTTGCTTAGTATATCTTTCACCCTCTTAGTATTTAATTTATTATAAAGATTACTAAAAATTAAATTTTTAACATCACTATTTGTTCTCATAGGACTCCATAAAGACAATTTTATTTTTTTCTCAATTCTCCAAATTGTTACCTCTAAACTAATTTTTATAATAAAACTTCTTATTTTTTATTTTTATTTTTTGCGCATTACTATTTCAACACAAATTATTTTTATTCATAAGAATTTTCTCTTGATTTTTTTCAAGCACATCTTTTACAACTTGCATAATAATACTCATTAATTTATCACACATAGTATTTAGCTTCTTCATGAATATCTGAAATTTCAAGGTCAAAATTTACTCATAAAAATAATTTTATTTGTCTTTTAAGTGTAATCATCTAATTATATGATAATATTTTCTTGTATTTTCAACCTCCAACCCGTCATTTTAAAATCCAAAAAGCAATTATCGATTTTGGGTATTAAATTGTCACTTGAAATGACTTCAAAATATTTACAATCTTGACGATTGTCGACGCTTAAAAGGGGAAAAGTTAATGTTTGGGGGTCGCCCGTAAGAAGCTGTCGGTCGCCAGAATCGAAATCCCGTCACCCGCTTCGGAAGGACTTTTTAATTTACGTATATATATATAATTTTAGAAAAATACGAAATCAAACTGACCTCATATTTTTCACAGTTTAAATGAAAGAGCGCTCTACCTCAAATCCTGTATCTACCCCGAAGAATAAACACAAGACCTGAGGATGAAGCTCGATCAAATAAACTAAGAAAGATATGACGTCCGTTTGGGTCTGCGAAACCATTTTATTTGCCGACAAGTTCCCCTATTTAATACAAATAATTAAATAGGGTTTATTTTAAGCTGGGTTCGGAAAAGCTCCCTATAAGGGCAAGCCCCTATAGTTAATTACATCTCAAATGACCGAAGTCACCTAAGAAAACTCTCGATAAAAATCAGGGAATAATGTCTTCAAAGAGGTCAAAAGGATAGGACTTTACAACGAAATCGGACGAAGAGGTGTGAAGGGGAAAAGCTCAAATCTGGAACATTGTTAAGGAATCCAAATGAAGAGAAACTAGGGGAAGCCACAGATCTTGAGGGGAACCTCAGTGACTTCCCAGTCTATCCTATGATTTGGCTCCAATTTTGAGAAGAAAATATTAAAGTGTTTTATCCCGCCAATTTTATTTAATTAGGGCTTATATTTGCGTGACAGGGTCACTCAAATTGCCTAGAAGATATGAGGGTTTACGTCGTATCAGGCGACAACCTCGGAACCTAGAACGAGTTTAGGGCTTAAATCGTACGGCAGAGCTATACGAATGCCTAAAGAAAAA